GGGGGGCGGGGTACATATATCTGCATGGCCCTCATGTGAATCTGGGTTTAACTATACTGTTACCCCCCATGTATTTTTCTTTGATTGAAAAGACACCACTGCTCTGTCATTTCTTCCCAAAATGCAGATAATCTCCTCTCTCTCTCCCTCCCCCCGCCGGAGAAAGAACTTGAAATGGCCGCGCCGGAGAAAGAACTTGACACCACTGGTGACAATAATATATGAATTTGTATACACACAAACGATAATTGTCTGTGAACTTAGTTATAGACGACTATCATTTATGTGTACAAATTCACACACATTGTCAGAGGCGGATCCAACTTGCTCCTAGTGGATTTTTTTAAAAAAAAATACTCCGCAATTAGTAGTTTTATTACTCATTTGTTAACAAAAAACTCAATATTTTAACACTTTAATTGTAAATTAGTTTTAGTAATTTATTCATGTATATTTTCTAAAACTAAAAGTGTTTATTTGCTTAGTTATAAGTTATGTGTAATAATTTATAATATTGAGATAAAATTTAACTCCTTTTTTGTCGTCTCATATTTTTTCTGGGAAAAATGCCCTTGGTCCCCACCCAGTTCTTGCCCCCGGTCCTACGGTTTTCTGGATCCACCGCCGCACATTGTCCACCGTGGTGGATTTCTATCTTGACTTTTATTTTTTCTAAAGAAAATAATGAACGGTTCACTTTTTTGTCTTCCACATACATTTTACACAATTTAATTTTTTTTATTTTTGTGAAAAAATAAATACTCGGGTAAAAAATTTAATTTGACATGGGATATACTCCATTTCTAATTTTATTTATTTCTTGTATGCACTATTCTTAGGCCCCGTTTGGTATATGGAATTAATGGAATTAGAATTGAATAGGAATTGAAATTTTATGAGATTCAATTCTATAGAATTGAATTCTGCTAATTCCAAATCATTTTTGCACTATCAATTCCAAATCTACATAATTTTTGTGCTATCAAACACCAGAATTGGAATTGAAGTCCTCAATTCCAATTCCATAATTTGAATTTCGTGTACCAAACGGGGCCTTAAGGATTTTATCAAATATTTATACTCAGTATACATCGTATTGTTACTTCATATTTCAAAATAAGAAAAGTGATTTTTCGAATCACTATTACTATACTAATCACATCATATCCCACGCTACTATAAAAAAATACGGAGTAACTAAATAAGAATAAAATTAGAAAGTAACATCATAATTAAACATTTTTAAAGGCAAATTTTTCATGATCTTAAGGTTCACACTTATTTTATGGATCTTAATTTATACTCGTAAATGCCTTGGATGAATTGAGCTTTTTGAAAAAATAAAAGATAAACATATCAGATCATAGAAAATGTAAGAAGGTTTGAAATTTAAATGTGGATTTTAAGATCATAGAAAAATAACTTTTTTTTTAATTTCAAAATTTTAGCATTTTCAAAAATAGAAAAATTATATACGAGAGAGTTAGGATTTCCCTCATAGATCTTACAATTGTATAAAAGAGTTACACAGACAATAATAAAGGCACAGCGTAACATGATAAATATTGAATTGAATGTGGTGAATTGAACAAGATTTTGACAATACATCAAATGTAACTATGTAACATGTCCCTCCACATCCTTACAATTCTCCCACTTAGAGGTTCATCCCATCAAATCACCATTTCATTTTTTGTTCGTATCGAAGATTAATTGAGATTTTGTACACCCACAGTTTTCGAACATCAACTCATTTGTTCGATAGGTATATTACCATCATATCACTAATGACATAATAGTGATGTTTTTGTGTTTTGGCAATTGTGGTGGTAGATAGTATTGTGTGTTGTCAAATACGGAGTGCTTATTAATCCCTCTGAGGATCCAAAATAATCGTCTCAGTTACTATTTTGACAAGTTTTGTTAAATTACATATTTTTATTGCGGTCTGGTTTCGTAGCTATTGTATTTCAGTGACCACGGAAATCGTTGTCCCGATTCAGACACCTACGATACACTGTTTGTAAAATTGATGATTTCTACTCTCCTAATCTCCCAGTAAACCCCCCTACCCAGTCCCGATCCCAACTCACCCCCCCCCTCCAAAGGTCAAAACTTTAGACTTTAAAGTCAATTATACTTGCGGGGTGCAATTGACGTATGTGAGGGGGTGAGTTGGGATCGGGACTGGGTAGGGAGGTTTACCAGGGGATTAGGAGGGATGTGAATCATCAATTTTACCAATGGAGCATCGTAGGTGTCTGAATCGAGACAGTGGCTTCAGTGGCCACTGAAATCCAGTGGCCACGAAACCGGGGCGAGAAACGGGTGGGTTCAGACGTTCAGTGGCCACTGGATTTTAATGGCCACGAAAGCCACTGTCCCCCTACGATGCCCCGTTCGTAAAATTGACGATTCCTACCCTTCCTAACCCTCCCCCTTTAAACCCCCCTGACCAATCCCGACCCCAACTCATCCTCCCACCTACGTCAATTGCACCCTGCAATTTTAGCTGACTTTAAGATCAAAACTTTAGACTTTAAAGTCAACTATACTTGCGGGGTGCAATTGACGTAGGTGGGGGGATGAATTGGGATCGGGACTGGGCAGGGGGATTTACGAGGGGTGGGGGGATTAGGAAGGGTAAGAATCATCAATTTTACGAACGGAGCATCGTAGGGGGGCAGTGGCGTCCGTGACCACTGAAATCCAGTGGCCACTAAACCCATCCGTTTCTATTGTTATTTGAAATATTTATTTGATAAAATATAATAATATTGTTACATCTTGTTTTTTAGAATTTTTAAGATGGTTTTGAAATATGTAATCTGTAGTACTGTTTATTTCTATACGAATTTGATAAAATAATTTCAAAAAAGATGACATTTTGTACGTTGTTCCAAGTGAGCTGATTAGTTTGAGACGCTAGGAATAACATAATGAATTGTTTTGAACTATCATAGCAACGACGACTTTTAATTGTGGCGGTCGATATAATGGCAATGCCAGGGCAGTGGCGGATCCATGAATAAATATGACTTGGGGCAAAATTATAGTAATATGAAGGATGAGGGTTTGTGTGCAGCGCCCCTGATTTTTTAAAAATACCAATTTAAAATGACGAAAAGTAAAATAATTTTATATTAAACAAGTACTCTGTTGGCGACAAAAGAAGGAAGCCGGATCAAAGAAGGAAACTGATTCCCTTTGGGATTCGGTTTAGTATCTTTCCTAGTTTGCTTAGTTCTTGTTATAGTAGGAATAGAAATATGGTAGGAATAAAAGTTTACTTATATGCTTTACTCTCTTCCTATATAAAGAGGGTTAGACCTTTGTATTCACAAGCCAATTCAATATACAAAATATTTTTCCTCCTATTAATTTCTACATGGTATCGGAGCAAGTTTTGAATTTTTGAGACCTCAAACACGCTTCTTCCCCTGCCGGTGGGCATACACAATTCAATGCCTACCGGCGGGATATTGTAATTTTTTGATTTTCTTTGATTGTTCTCCATCACTAAAGAATATCATGAACTCCTTTAACGAAAAACATTGCTGTCGAGGAATCCCGCCCAACCATCAATCTTGAAGAAGTTGTCCGAGAAGCAGGCAATAAAAAAAAGTCAGCGTTCAGGGTGTTTGAAAAGAATGGCGTTCCCCCTGTTTGTTCGAATACGGTGAAGGTTCGAAAAGAATGGCGTTCCTTTACTCGACTGATTATTCGGCGGATTCGAAAAGCTTGGCGTCTCCGTTGAAGAAAAAATTGAAGTGTCTAGATGACACTTGGACAACGATGGCAGCGGCTTCCTCAAGCTTTGTTGCTTTGTTCAATCTTTTGATGTCCAAGCTGGGCATGTTGAACTCCCATGCTCCAGCTTGAGGGGGGGTGTTGGCGACAAAAGAAGGAACGGCCTAGTTTCTTCCTTGGACTTAGGGAAACCCTAAGCCAAATCATAGAAAGGATCAAACGAATCAAGAACAATATCATCCTTATCTTTATACCATCCTTATTTTCAAATGAATATACGAAATGAGAGAAGGATATATTTCTCCCAATCTGGAAACATAAGTGTTCGGTTAAGTTATTACAAAATATTTTTCCTCTTATTAATTTCTACATACTCGAATAAGTTTTAAAAAATTACTTCAAAAGTAGAAAAGTAAAAAAAAAGAAACATATCATAACTTAACACGGAGTATAAATACATGTTACATATATTTCACTTTTATATTCTATTTAAAAAGTTATTGTTTTCTTTTGTTTTGGACTATATTTTAGGGGGTGTATTCAATCCAGATTTTTAAAAATAATGACTGGAGGTGCCCCGGGTAGTCCGATACACTAGGCATAGATTTGCCAGTGTGCCGGGGTGATGTCTTTGCGGTGCCTGGAGGCAGTGTAAGGGAGTCATATATAACATTATAATCAAAGAAATCGGCATAAATAAAAGTAAAACATAGAGAAAATACATACTAAAATAGAGATTTCATTTTAATTTTAAATCTATTCTACTAATAGCCAAAATTTATCAATTTTGACTACAAAAAATCAAAACTAGACAAATATTTAAGAACAGAAGTAGAATTATTTTATTTTCCATTTTAGTATTGTAAATAAAAATTAATTCTGAAAACATGTCGTAAACGTTTTGTTTACATCCTACCAAAAAAAATGGTTATACTCTTATTTGATTTTTTTTCTGCAATAAAATTTTTCAAATCCTACCATAAAAAATTATACTCCGTATTGTTTAATCCTTGCTATGTTCCTAGGTATACGTACATTCCATATACTCCGTATAATAATAATAATAATAATAATAATAATAATAATATAGTAAGTAGAGTTCAAAGGGAACATGGGATACTAACTATGTAAACAATGTTGTGTACTTGTTTTATTTGATGGCAGTTACGTGTTTTATTTGATGGCAGTAAGTAGAGTTCAAAGGGAAGCATTTTTTTAGTTTTTTTCAAAGAATGCATTATTGAGATATATAGACATATATATAGTCCCTCCATGATTTTATAATTTTTTTTGAGACATTTTAAAATAATCTCTTCGTTTCAAATTAGATTACAAAAGAGAGGGTACTAAGAGCCATTGAGGACGGAACTGCGGAAGCACTTGCATGTAAGGAAGCTATGTCATAGCTAAAGTCTCAAGCTGAATGTGGAGATCTTCTCCGATTGTGAGAATTAGGTTCGAGGGCTCAAATAGGGCATGAGTTTTGTTTGTTCTTCCTACTTAATGAATGGGGTTAATTCTTGATTCGCATTTAGAGTTTATGAATTGTTGTTTGAAGGTGTCATTTAATTTTGTGAGTCGAGATTTGAATGTTGTTGCTCATAGTTTGGCTAGACGCGCTTTAGCTATGTCAGGTTTGTGGGATTCTTCTCTGCATAG